TAAGATAAAAATGTAAGGAAAACAAATAAATAAATTAACGCCAAGGGCACACAACAAAGTGAAATGAGAAATATATTTTGATTATAATTTTTTTAATTCGAAACAAAGAAATGTGAAAATATTTTGACTATGCTTGTTTCAATTTAAAACAAAGAAAGATTTAATTTAACTTAAAACTATCTGCAATTAAATATACAAATTTAATATAATTACTGTAAGGTTTTTTTTTATACAGTAATTATAAAGTAATTAGTTGTTATACAGGAATTTTCAAGCATGTTAATGTGTGCGTCATGCTTTGGTATTCAAACTTTCCGGTATTTATTTCTTATGCTTCAGCACAGCTCTATTATATCTATTTTTAAAATTTCCTTTTGTGTCAACTTTAAGTAGCTGTAAAGAGATAAAACCCATCGTTTGATAAGGAAAATGATTCAATTAACGACAGATGACCTCAAGTAAACAAGAATAAACGAAATAATTATTCTAAAAATTGTTGATGATAACGATATTATTTAGTGGCCTTTTAACGTGCTCAAAACCAGTTTCAAAACTGCCTCAAATCCACAGAGCTAAGACGTATTCGTATTTTTGTAAAATTTATTATTAATGTGGAATTTTTAAAACTTTTAACATGTCGCTGCTTCCAGTTTGGTTCAAAGGATTAACACCTGAATTGATTAAAAAAGCTGAAGAAGAATTGAATGAGAAACCAAACATAAAAGCAAAAGTTCTGGTTGAATTTCGTAGGCTCATTAATGGTAAGTTTAAGGCTTATTAACCCACCAGCTTTCGTCTTCTTTTGGCGATATTTCTATCTATCTATACCCCCAAAATGAAAACTTGTAGCATATTTTGTAACAGCCTTTGTTTTTGGGAATAAAACTACATGTCTTTTTACTTTGATCTATTTATGATAGCTATAAACTTTTTTGTTTTAGCCCTAAAGATTTTTTTTCTAATGGTTTAAAAATATGTGCTTTTTAACCTTTTGCACTCCACTGACTCTACGCTGAGATGAAAAGTTGGTACTCTAAAATCCCTAATATCTTAATAATTTGTAACAACGTTATTTTATTTATTTTAGAAATTATGTAAAATTATTGTGCAATATGTTTTAATTGATTACACCAATTCAAACAGTAACAGTAGATGGTTACGTCGATTCAAACAGTATTCGGAGTGAAAAAGTTTAACATGAAATTGCTCACAATAGGGAAAAATTTTAAATTTTATTTGTTCAGATTTCTTTTTAATTTTGGAAATTATGGTGGTAAGTATTACAGATATCATACCTGCCAACTTTTAATCCCTTCAATTACGATTTTCCCCAGTGGTATTAAAATGGAATTAAAATTTCAATTTTAAGCAACGAAATAGGTTGTAATTGAAAAAGCATGAGCTGAAGTCATTGAGAGAAACGCATATTATTATATATGCGTAAGTTTTTTAAAAATAGTGGTGATCAAAATCATTTAAAAATTAAGTTTATAAAGGAAAAATTTGTATATATTTACTACCACTTTAAATATAAAAATAAAATTTTACGCCAAATGCGTAAAAGTTGGCAGGTATGCAGATATGCAGGCTTGCTAACTACTAAGCTTTTTAAAAATTATTATATATGGTAGTAGACATTAAAAAGCCTAAGCTTTCAGAATTTTTAGTAATTTTACATAATTAAGTTATTTTTAGTAATTAAGTTCTTCTAAGAACCTCATCAGGGAACAAATAGAACAAGGTGGCGTTGCACATGAACTTTTAAATAATTTACATGTAGTGGTGTGGAAAATAAGTTCATATGCATAAAAAAAGCATTAAAACATAAATTTAGGTACCACGAGAATAAATTTTTAAAAAAATCACCGAAAGTTGACAGTTTTTGGGATACCAAATGCTTCACTTTTTGCAAAAGTTTTAAAGAATTGGAAGTGAATTAAATAATAAACTTGAAGAATAAAGACAACGCTATAAAACTGTCATGTCACCATAATTTATTTTCTTGCTTGCTTGCTTTATTTAAACAACTGGGTGCCTAGGCCACGAAGCGGGCCCCTAACCCATCCATCATAAAAATATTATTACAGTGAATATAACATTTTGATTTATGTAACAGTGTGGTAACATAAAAAAACCATGATTAGAAATTTGTACAATTTGATCGATGATTTACATAAATTGCCTTTAAAAAAGAAGTGAATACAGCCATGATTAGGTCGATATACATGAGATACATAATTTATTTTCTATAAAGTTACATTTCATATGATACTTTGAATTGTTGATGGATTAGTGGTGAAAAATTATTTAAAAGGAAAAATTAATTACTTAGATATGTAATATAATGCAGATATGTTATATAATTTTATGACTCCTAATGTTAGCATTGAAAAACAATTGAGATAATGTAGGCTATTTAGGATTGAGTGTGATTATAAATGAAATTGTTAACGCAATGATAAATATCAATAACAAAACGGTTGAATTGAGGAGAGAATGTTATTTATTCGTATAATTTAAATGTAATGGCCGAATTCGAAGCTAAATCCTAGCTTTGAAAGAAAAACCAGTTAAAGTTAAGGGGAAGTTGTAAGCCTAAACACTATGAATGGTCTTTAATATTCTTAAAACTAACATTAAAAAAAATTATTCTGGGATAATATGAGTTATTTAAGAATAATTGTGATTAAGATGATTATCTAATGTATTTACTTTTAACAGTTGACACACACTTTTTTTAAAAAAAAAAACGGTTTCGGAATTTTTTTAAAATTTTTATTTAAAGCAATTTATCGTGATCAATTACTTATTCCATGTTAAAGACAATACTTTATTTTTGCACTTTAATCGAGAAATTAATGCATTTTACGAAGGTAATTTAATATCATTATATTATATAATGACCTTATTCGTGACATTTGATCTTATGAAAGAAGATGCTATAGCATGATTAATACCGAGAAAATTAGCTTAATCTGTAGTTCGAATAAAGTCAAAACAAAAGAGTCTATGTAAGTAAAAGTCTTTTTTATGTTTTTTTTTGTTGTTTTTAATTAGGAAGCACTTGAGTTGTATATTGTGCAAAAAAAGGAAGAAAAAAAAACTTACCCTGAATAACTTTTGTTCTAATGATCGGATCTTCACATTCTAGGACTCCATCTTAATGGTCAGAGGGGGTGACTTCAAATATGCTAATTAATTAGTGCAGACGATGCTTGGTCTGGAGGCTGGTCCAAAGTTTAGGCTCCTTAATGTTAATTTTAGTTTTTTCACCTTATTTCCGAGTATTTTTTAAGAGAATCGAAAATTATTTGCTCACAATTATAAAATTCGTTCATCCAAAGATAATACTTTGGCTAAATTCGTTCATCCAAAAATAATACTTTGGCTAAATTCGTTCATCCAAAGATATTTCTTTGGCTAAATTCGTTCATCCAAAGATAATATTTTGGATAAATTCGTTCATCCAAAGATAATACTTTGGCTAAATTCGTTCATCCAAAAATAATACTTTGGATAAATTCGTTCATTCAAAGATAATACTTTGGATAAATTCGTTCATCCAAAGATAATACTTTGGCTAAATTCGTTCATCCAAAAATAAATTCGTATTCCATGCAGAAAAATAATTTTTCGCTTTATTGATTGATTGATTTTTCGTAATTTCTGATTGATTTAGATCTTTGATTGAGTAGATAGATTGATTAGTTTTGATTTAGATTGAGTTGCTGCAAAGTGTAAAATGTAGTCTGAATAGTTTAGTCCGGAGAGAGGTAGAAAAGTAAGTTGAGCAAAAGAAAAAAAGTTACCACCTCCAGAGAAACTTTTGTTCACAGGATTAAATATTTGTGCACTCAGGGCCACTCTTAATGATGCTAAAAAGCTGACTAATTAATTGGTTTTTAAGTTACGACCAAAAAGCGTACTCTGTTGTAATAAGTATGCTTTTTTTTTTTTTGTTGACCGATGTAAAGTTTTGTCCTTCGCAATACCGCAAACGGGAAAATATGGTCCCAATAGTTTAGTCAGGAGAATGATAAAAACTTTAGGTCTCTGAATAGTTTATTTTATAATAATTAATATTTTATTTTCATATTTAACCATGTTTCGAAAACTTTTGCACACAATTACAAAACATGTTTGACTAAAAGTAAATCCATGCAAACAATAATTTAAAAAATGTTATTTATCAAATTCAGTAATGATCGTATTTTTCTCTCTATACTTATGGTTTGCATTCAAGCTAAGCTGACCAGCGTCCACCAGAAACTAAAAAGTTGTTCGTAAAATTTCTTTGCATTAGAAAACTCACAGTTTTATCTTTCCAAATCAAAATTCTTAGAACAAAGATCCCTTGCAAGGATTCTCTAACAGGAATAATTTTTTTGAAAAGACAACGAGAAAAGTTTTCGAATGTTCCTTTAGTAATTTAACTACTAGTTTCTTTAGTTTTTTGAGAACCCTGGTCACCTTATTAAAGGCGCTTCTTTGGAAAAGGGAACACTTTTATTACTTTTTTTTTATTTAAAAAGATACAATTATTTAATGAATACTATGTACACTTAGTAATTAAAAAAAGATAGAAATATTTGTTGCCGACTACGCGATATTGAATGATAAAATTCTTCCTTACAGTTTGTGTCAATAAAACAGATCAAATAGTCACAAGATGCATATTATCATTCCGCTATTTTTGCAGAAAATATGTTTTCTCACTACAATAATACATTGTTTATAACAAAAAAAAAGTTAATTGTAGCATTTCAAACGTGAGTACAACTCCTCCTATAACTGAAAGGTAGTCCAATCAGACCACTATGAAAGCAAGCCAATTTACGAAGGAGCCAGTTAATAGAAAATCTATTGAAAATTAGAAAGTGGTGGCAAATATATGTCTTATTTACTTTTCATCCACTACGGATTCAATTCTTAAATATATATGATACATATCTCTCAATTACTTTTAAAAACATTTGTAAATAGTGTAAATATTCTTTCTTTATCTTTATCTTCAATTTGTTCCCTTTATTATGTATCAACTTGCGATTTATTTTTATGCATGACTCAGACTTGATTTTATCAATTATTGTTCATTCTGAGATTTAACTTAATGTTAACGCAGCACCTCCCTTCCCTTCCACCACATATTATTCAATTTAGATGAAAGAGCAGATATCCATACATGGATAGGTACTCTGAAAAACTTGATTAGTTAATACTTTTAAAAACGAATTTGGGCTCATGAGCACAACTGGTTCGCTTTTTAAATAATCTGCGCAGACTACTTATAAAAACTTGTGTGGAGTTCTGATGTTGAAGGTGATGTCTATACCGACCCGTCAACTCCAATTCGAACAGTTTATCCAGATATATGACGGAATACGTAAAAATTAAAATCTCTCCCCTGACTTAAATGTTTGGATCATATTCTCAAAATTTCGATTACACCGATTCCTGATGGTTAAAAATTCAAATACCTTTAAAGAAAGAAAAAAAAAAGTCTACTTTTTAACGCATGCCAGCGTTGAAATAAAATAAATTTGTTCCTAATGTTTGACGTATTGGTGATCGCATGACTATAATAAGAGTCATTTTAGGTAATTGGTTTGATATTATCTGTTATTGGAAAATTTCACAACTAAAACAAAGCATATTTACCTCATAAGTAATTTGAATTTAAATGATTATCGTACGCTTAAACCACAATTCAAATATTTAAATATGAAAAAAATTTGCTCAGCAATGACATCTATTTAAGTAGTAGGGAAAAAGTTCAATTTAGTGGCAACATTTAATTGGTTTCTTAACGTTGTTTTAGAAAACAATCAAATATACAAGAGCGCAATCAAGTGAACATTAGAGATCAATTTTAAGAAAAGATAAGAAAAATATTCCATCAAGTTTCATTGATTAATGTGCTTTATTTTAGTAAAAATACATAACTCATGTTTTTTTTTTAAAATTTAAATTTAATATCGAGTTTATGATACATAGACGAAATGGCAGAAGTGAACAGAAGTCTTTCCAGTACAACAAAATCTTAGGAAACAATCAAATATACAAGAGCGCAATCAAGAGAACATTAGAGATCAATTTTAAGAAAAGATAAGAAAAATATTCCATCAAGTTTCATTGATTAATGTGTTTTATTTTAGTAAAAATACATAACTCATGTTTTTTTTTTAAATTTAAATTTAATATCGAGTTTGTGATACATAGACGAAATGGCAGAAGTGAACAGAAGTCCTTCCAGGGCAACAAAATCTTACCGAATTCGCAGTTTGATTATTACATAAAAATATTTTTCAAAAAATAATGATGTCTCAACAGATTGCGTTGCATATTTCCAATTACTAAAAAACAATTGTATACCTGGGAAAATTAATCCTTAAACATTGTTTACAAGCACCGAAATTTTCCATTATGTAAGAGTTTTTCTAAGTTAAATGCCTCAAAAAGGTTTTAGTATTTTGAGAGTGCCATCTGTTGACAATTTTTGTAATTAATTTTAAAATTTAGAGATAAAAGGTGTTCTGGTTTAGTAAGCGGAGCAAAATAAACCGTATGTTTCTATTCATCATCATCTTGTGTCTTTTCTATTTTTCTTAAATTGTTGTCTAGTAAAAATTACTACAGTTAAAATTTTCTCTTCAATAATGTGCTAATATAATTTTGGGTTTTCTAGACGAGCAAGACTTGTACAGCAGATTGGATGAAAACTTTCTTCTGCGTTTTTTACGTGCAAAGAAATTCAATGCCAAAAAAGCAATAAAAGTGTTGAGGAATTATTACAACTTCAAAGCTCGACATGCAGGAGTGTTCACGAATCTCAAACCATCTCAAGTAAGATCTATAATGGAAATGAATATGATATACTATTCACCGTACAGAGTTCCTGATGGTTCGCACATTGCAATATGCAGACTAGGTAAGGGCCAGATTGCAATAACCAGACGATTTTCACTTAAGATTACGTTTTATGAATTTTATGAGTATGAAATGAACTGAAGTGTATTTTATTATGAATTAAATTTCATTATGAAATGAGCCTTATCCCCTCGGGTACGGGTAAGCATTCGTACAAAATCAGAATCAGGACGTAAATAAATAAAAAACGGTAGCTTAAATGTAGCCGTTGCTAATTTGACAGACTTACTTTGCTTTTACTTTAATTATTGTTAATTTAATCATGTATATAATCAATGTTAGTTCAAAGTATAATTAAATTATTTTATTTTGAACTAAAGTAATGGTGAATTAAATAAATTAAAGTAAACTGCTAAAGAACTACTTTGGTTACCAGTTTTATCTTTTTACCCTGATTGATCCGGTTTTATGCTGGCACGTATTTGTGACAATCGGCGCAAAAGGGTTAATGATGCATACCCTCCAACTGCTACGGAATTTCCGTAGTTTCATAAATCTTCTTTTCTGACGGTAGCAAAATTAATGTCTTAATATTTAAAAATAATTGATCTTAGCGTAACTTGTCCACTATTACTAATAAAAGTGCAGGCCATATGGCTAGATTCTTAAGTTCTGATAAAAGTTTTATGAGAGATCCATTTGCTTTAAAAATTTCTACTTTGGTTTGCTACCACTAGAAAGAATTATTTTCAAAATCCTCATAAGTTGGAGGGTATGAATGATGCAAAAAGTTGACTAATTAATTGGTTTGCAAGATACGGAGCCCGTAAAAATGCGTTTCTTGTCGGAATAAGTATGCCTTTATTATTTTGATTGATTTAGATTGATTTAGATCTGGAAAATGTAGTCACAATAGTTTAGTCGGTAGAACGGTCTAAAAATAAATTGAGCAAAAGAAAATAGTTTTCACCCCCTGAAATTTCTGTCCTCATGATTGGATATTTCTGTACTCAGTGGTAATCTTAATGATGAAAAAAACTGACTAATTAATTAGTTTTAAAGTCATGGAACGCGACTACAAAGCGTACTTTCTTGAAATAAGTATGCCTTTATTTTCGATTACAATGTGAGGGGGTAGTCGCAAACTGGAAAATATGGTCCCAAGAGTTTAGTGAGAAGATCGGTAGAAAATTTGGGCCTCTGAATTATTTCTTATTATCTATACTTTTTTTTACATATTTAACCATGCCTCGATAATTTTAAAGCAAAACGAAAACTTTTGTGCACAATTATAAAGCATGTTTGTCTAAAAGTAATTCCACGTAAAAAATAATTCATGATACGTCTTTTCCTTCAAATTCTGTAATGGTTGAAAACATTTTGAACCTTACGATTTGTAAATCTGTGTCATTAAATGACAAACTGAGTAATTTGAATGAAATTGGTTAATGGCTCTTGAAAAATGAAAAAAAAATTTTATTTTAAATTTTATAAGCCAAAAATTGTTTTACTGATTTTGTTCAAATTCTGCTTTTTATATTTTAAAATCAATTATGAATATATGAAATTTACAGTTTAAAGTTTGTTAATAATTAATAAATGAAGTACGCTGTATTTGTTAAAAACAATTTTTATAATGGAGTTATTTTTGGATAAATGAGTTTGCAAAACGTTTTTTGTTCAGAATAAATTATAAAAACAATATTTTTCATGTCTGTTGTCAGAAGTTTTCTGTATCTGTATTGAGAGCTTTAATATTTTAGAACTATTAATAAAACAGCTTAAACATACTTTTTATTTCATGTCTTTAAACTAATTATTTTACAGGCTCCTATAACCCACGACTCGCCAAAGCCGAAGAATTAGTCGCCACCGTTTTCATCTGCGCAGAAATGATACTAGAATGTGAGGCGTCACAAATCAGTGGAGGAATTGTGGTATTTGATTTCCTTGGAGCTGGTATCCAACAATACACAAAGTTTGTCACTTATTCCTTCGCCAAATTCATTACTAATGCTTTACAGGTATGATTTCAGAACTATTTTACGTCTTAATACACTATTGGAATAAAAGATTCATTAAGCTTTAAAGGACTGTTTATTTACAATTTTATTTTTTCACCGTCGTTGAACAGTCGACCAATTTTGAGTTTACGACTACCAATCAATAAATATTCACAGCCGGAAAGTGATTAATAACACTGTATTGCTATACTAGTACTGAAAAATTAATAATACATCATTTAAAAAGCAGTCATATTAATTTCACTTAAATCGTTTGTTTTCATAAAAATAATCAAAACATTAATAAATCAAAAGTTTTTGCGCTTTTTTCGTTTATTTTTTAAAACATCTTGAGAACTAATCAAACTCTTAATACATTAAGAATAAATATTGACTTTTTGAAGGGGGGATGGAACGAGCTTCTAGTTAAAAGGAAACATGGGTTAAAATAGGATGAGAACCACTGCTCTAAGTGTTTATACACTTTGAATAATAACCTTTAAGAATACTAATTTTTTAAATTTCTTCGTAGAATACACACTTGAAATTTTATGGTGAAGTATCTATGCGGTGGCTCATGCCGTAGGGAAAAAAAACTTAGTTTCGACATAATATGAGTGTCATTTTTGAAGGTTAATAATGCCTCATTTACTTTCTAAGCACATCTTTAGAAAACAAAGGATTTCTCAAGGGCAAAATTTAAAAAAAAAATTATGTATATAAATATCTCATCTTAAGTTTTGATGTGAAAACTCTTTTTAGGATATTAATGTTTAAGTTAGTAATTATGCAGTGAAATAAGTATTTGCTTTAAGTATATATTTTCTTTGGGATTTAAAACATTAAGCATTAATTGATACACAACCATGGTCAAGCATCTAGCTCTGTTTTTCAGGGCTTTGTCTTTTAACGGTCATGGTAGGAATGCAATGTAATTTTGGACCTGGTCAGACGACGTCGACAGCGTCTGAGCTGGTTCCAAACTTCCACACTACTAATTATGAGATGACTTTTAGCTACGGCACAGGGGTGAAAGCGAGACGGAAAAGAGGAAAGGCTGGTAGTAAAACCATTTCAGTTATAGCTAATTTTGGGGAGGAGTTTACTTATTCTTTTTTTAAATTTTTCAACAATATCTACTTTATCTTGGAAAAGAAGCAGTTTTATATATATGCCAGAATTATAAAAGAAATCTTGATAGCTGCAGATATTTCATTTTTTTCGAAAAAAATGCTGGAATGAAATGTTTTACGTACCAGGTTTTTCTCTTTTCCGTCTTGCTATATAAGGGCTTTCACCCATGCTACGGCAGATTAAACGTGCACCTTGCTGCGTATCAAAATATAACATACGGAATTAAAATATATTTTAACATTTAGAGTTTAAAATATATTATTGAATATTTTAGTGTTCAAAATATATCTAGAGTTCATAATATATGTAATAAAAGTTTAAAATAGGTGATTCAATTAATGATTAAATTAATGATGATAATTTTAGTGTTTGTTTTTATAAATTCAAGTATGTAAATGTTAATATATGGTGTTGGTTAATGAAACAGCAATATATTTTAAAAATTTGAAACATGTTTTTTCATTCACAAATTCTTTTCATTCTTTAATATTTTTTTTTTGAAATTTAATGACTATAGATAGAAGAAGTGAAGTACGATGAAGGTGTGATAAATATGGCTTAGTCATTATCTCCTTACCCTTTTTATTTTGATACATTTCGTACAGTTATACATGGAAAAAAAAGCTATTGTAAAGTTATTTATGCCTGGGACAAAACAAAATGAATGTATTCATAAGCACCAATGCGTTATATAGTTTTAAAAGGATATCAAACTAGAAAAAATAGCTATTATTTTCTATTACATATAATCTAACACACAATGCTACTTATAAAAACTCTGAATAAGCTATATTGTTTTTGAAAATTCATGACATTTACACATCACGACGGAATTTCATGTCTATAAAATTCATTTATTATAAGTAAAAGAAATCAATACTTTTGTAATTTTTCATTTGTTTTGGCTATAACCTTTGCCATTTTTAATGATTAATGTTTAGAAATCAACTAAGTTATTTTCCTTTTTAGGCATGATGAATACGATAAAAATTTAAGTAATATAGGTATCGCTAGTGTTTTACATTAAAAAAAAAACTAAACTTAAAAGAATATATATAATTCATATTCATCATTCCATGGTTTAAAGCAACAAAATCATAAATTTGACGGACGGAAAAATCAGATTATTTTAAATGTCAGTTAAAATTATTGTAGAATTCTTAATTTAATTATTGCGGTAGTATCAGAAAAGAAAATGCAATATCTTTTTCTAGCAAATATAACTATATCTATAATCAATAAATTTTTAAAGTTTTGATATATAATTATAACTTAAATTAAAATGGAGAATAATCCACCCATATTAACCTGCATTGCAAATTTTTATTACACGAATACAAGCATTTATGTTTCAAAAAATACAAACCCGTGCACTTGCGACCTTAACATGGTGTCAAGTTAAGCCATATCTTTTTACAAACTGAACCTCATTGCTTGAACTGAATGGAAACTTGAATGGAATTATGGTTCACTTTATCACCTTATTGAGGTTATACCAAATTAAATGTTAATATGGTTCAAGGCGCATTGAACCAATTTCAGAGTGTTTTCTTCGTAATGTCATACATGGTGTACCAATTTTTATTGTTTCACACAAAGTTTTTGTTTTATTGTATTGATTTCAATAAATACAAATTGTTACTGAAGGAATCAATTAAAAAACAAGTATATGCATATGCTAGAGCAGGGGTCTCCAAACTTTCCAGCCTTAGGGCCATACTGATTACTCCAGTGAGTTCCGAGGGCCATTACTCATTACAATTCTGTGTTTCTTTATCCAACTTATCACAAAAACAATAACAATAAGCCTACAACAATGTTATGAGTAGTTAGCCCATGACCATATCAATGTAGATGTCATATTAATAATTATTCAACATAAAATTAGAACACTTCAGTAAACTAAATTTAATTTGCTTAAAAAAATATGTTCTCTAAAAGGAGTTTTCAAGTATGCTAGCTCTCCACGGGCCGGACAAAATCTGTCCGCGGGCCGGATGTGGCCCTCGGGCCGTAGTTTGGAGTCCCCTGTGCTAGAGCATTTGTATGTTCTAGAAGTGTCCTATTTAAGCACCTGCAACCATCACTGTTAGAAATTCGCTCGTGCCCTTAGCCGCAATATCGTGCAACTGCATCCTTAACTTGGTACCAAGTTAAGCCCAATTATCACGCAAATTGAACCAATTTAAGCTTCATTACTTGTACGGATTGACAACTTAACACTAGGTTCACGGATGTTTCTTATCCTCTTCAGACCCAAAGTATCCACAACGTGGGAAAAATTAAAGAGTGGTGACGAACTTTTCTCAAGACTGCTGAAAGTTTCATTAACTTAACTTCCAATTGATTTTATAAGATCAGTTTTGAATTTTAAACTCACAGTAAACAAAATGAAATTATTTTTTAGTACATATGAATACTTTAAAGTATGTATATTTTTCAAAATGAAGTTACCACTTTTACAAAATGATAATATCAGGTCAGAAGAGGTTATATACCTATCTCTACTAACTTGCATCAATTTGATGCATGAATGAATACATATAGCAGAACCAACTTGCTTCCGACAGCAAATATGTATTCTGAAGTGGTAGTTTATCAATTGTGATTCTTAGTTTAATAAATTCAATTTAATAGATTTTTATCCATCACTATTTCTAAATAATTCGCAGACTTATCTAATTCACCACTTTTTCGGTATACTGCAAAATTTATTTAGTAGTTATTTACCGTTTTTTTTAATTATTTTGGTGTGGCATCTCTGCACTTAGAAAGCAATGTAATTATATACTATAAGAAAAAAATGAAATATTCTAGTAAAATTTTATTTTTCAATACTCGAACTAAGCAACTGAAACCTTCAAAATCTGACACTCTGACATCAATTGACATTATGCTTTTGTTCTTTCTATTATTGCTTATCGGCGACAGTTTATCGCTTGTTTCATTTGAGATAACGATAATGGATCGAAGTATTGTCCGTACATTCTAATTTATTATTGATGTGATAATTGCATGTCTACTCAAAATTTTGTCTAAATTACGATCGCGTTAAATTGACGCATATCCGTAGAGATAGGTATACCACAAAGAGAACTTCAATATTTCAACGCTTTTGAAGAAAATAGACTTTAATATATATTTACCTATATCAATGGATAAAAGTCATTACAAGAGATAAAATAAAACTGAAAACGGGTTTCGTAATTTTTCTTAAAAAAATTCGAAATGCGTCAAAATGACGCGTCCCGTAAACCTAGTGTTAAGAACGGAAATATGGTTTCCGTTAACACTAAATAAAGGTTGCAGTGAACTTGAATGTTAACATAGTTCGAAGTGAACGTTATATAGTTAAACTAATTTTTCTGAGGGTGTTTTTGTCACGACGTCATGCATAATGCTAATTACGTAAACATTTATTAAATATTACGTAAATATTTCACACATATTGACTGTTTTTCCTCAATAAACATTGAAATATGTTATCTATACACAGCTTCAATATTGTTCTACTTATAGGATTGCTGGCCAGAGAGATTGAAAGGTATCCATTTAGTTAACGAACCATATGCTTTGCAAGCTGTTTTCTCAATGGTTAAACTCATAGGCAAAAGAAAACTAATGGAAAGAGTAAGTATAGAATGAGTTTAAATATAAAATTAAAGCTGGTAATAGTTCACATTAAATTACTATGTGTTTGTTTAAGAATAACGTGATAACTTTTTTCAAAACCATTCAAAATTTTTAAGCCTGTTCTAATTGTGCTCACAGATTACATATTTGCTATGCTCAGTTGTTTCTGTGCTAAAATATATTACAGGACATTGTTAAATTTAAAAAAAATATCAAAATAAAACGAAGACAGGAGTGTTAAAAAGAAAAGAAAATTAATGCGAATTAGGGAAGTAAAATACCCGATGTGGAAATAAGTTAGTTAATACTTTATTTTGGCTATGAATGAGATATTTGTTTATGCCTAAGAAATGGCTATATAATAATTAAAAAAAATAATTTTTAAATTGCAAAATATTTGTATTCGTACAGTATTTTGAATTGTGTAATTTCAAATAAAAGAATTTAAAATTTAAACGAAACTAAAATTTAAACTTTTAAAAATGAAAACCGCGTCCCAGAAAAGTTCTCGTCCCTAGTTTATGTTTACATCGTGCTGAAAATTTAATATATTGTCAATAATATTTATTTCATTATGTAATTATTAATAAAGATATTAGATATTTAACTAATCTTACTCTTTTCGAAATTTTAGTTTGAAAAATTAAATTATTTATCATTTACAATATAGCATTAACTTAACTGTAGAGAAATTGTTGATGTTTGCTATCAAAACACTAAACAAAACTGATTATATCTAATGCTTGATAGTTATTAATCAATGGAATATTAGATATAATTTGATGCTTCTGAGAGAATCTGAATAATTACGCATAATGTATATGGCAATTAGTTGAATTGTAAATTGCAGCTCATCTCCGAAGAGTAAATGTTTTTTTCTAAAAAATGAACTTGAATATTTTCATTGAACCATTGAGTTTAGTTTTTATTTATCACTATTAAAAGCAGACATGCACCTTTCTTGTTCACAGAATTAATTACTGTACTATTATTTGAGTTACATAGAATTTTGTCCTAATGATAAATTTATACCACTTCATATATCATCATGGTAACAGTGGCCAACTTAAAGCTTTCAAAGAAATGCGATGTATTAGTATTTATTTCCCCAAACAATTTTGGAAAATAATTTTACTATCATCCATTTGGGGAAGAATGAAAGTGATATTTTAAAATATTTGTAATGAAGGATAATGAACGTTGGAAAAGGCAGGCGAACTAACTGTTGTTAAATCAAGGTGCTTGTTAGCCCCAAAAAGGCAGAAATTAAAGCTAGACTGTACAATGATGAGCTAGAATTTATTATTTACAATTTATTCTTATGTAGATGGCGATGTATTTTGGACAAATTGAACTGTTACTGAGTTTATAAACTCTTTAAAAAAAATGAAAATTCCACAATCTTTCAAAGCTTTTTCCTGCACGGTTGTCTCGTTAGTATAGGTTTTACTAGCAATAACAAATTTTATCTAAGCCTTTTAACCTTTCGTTACGAAGGCCATATTTCGCCGGCATCCACGTAATACTTTTTGGTAACTGGCTCAATCTGCTTCAACTTACAGTGGCTAACATATCATTGACCAACTGGGACCCGTTCAGTGGCGTCAGCTCAGTGGAATGGACTGCCGTAACGAAAGGGTAAACAATAGACCGACTATTCGTTAAAAAATCCATCGTCATATCCGAGATCTTGTTAAATTAGTACTATTAATGAATGATTTGAGCTGTTTATTAGCTCAATGATGCTCGTCAACAAAAAGTCGTCTTAATTACAAAAACAGCCGTGTGAAGAAAGTGGAATATCAAGTCAGGGTGTCCACAGTCTGAAATAAAAAATGGAAAGTGGTAACAACTATAGGGTTGCCACGGACGACTAAAATTAATGATTAAAATTTAGAAATTTTTTGTACAAGAAATTAAAATTTGCAACTTTCCAAAGTATATTTTTTTCACTTTACTATTGATAGTGAATTTATTTATTTATTTATTTAAACAAAACTGGGTGCCTAGGCCGCGCAGCGGCCCCTACCCCATTCATCATGAAAATTATATACAGTGAATAAAACATTTTGAATTATGTAACAATGTGGTAACATTATAATAAAGTAACCATGATTAGAAGTATGTACAAACTTGATCGGAGATTTACATTAATTGCCATTGAAAAATGAATACAGCCATGATTAGATGGATATACATGAAATACGAGCTTAATCTGTGATATTTACATTAATTGAAGTAGAAATTTGGAACTGAGCATTAAAAATTGATGATAGCATATATACAGAAAATCGGGACTCAAAATCATATTGATAGTAAATGCAAAAATATTTTCGTATATGAATAATGTGAAATGTAAGTTATAGTGGTAGATACGATTGAATAATTAAAGAGATAATAAATAAATAAAAGTGAATTGAGTTTCTACCGCTTTTTACCTAGATAGCCACCTGTGGCCTCCCTGCAACTGGAAGGTGTTTGCCCTGAAAGTGGATATTTCTTTACCTTCTCTGGCGGGCGAGTCATAATGAAAATGTATTCGTACAGAATTAAAATAAGGATAGTAAAAAAATAGAAAGCGGTAGAATTTCGGGCAGAGCTAATTTCAATGACTTATTTTTGTTTTCACTTTAAATCTAGCACATTCCATCCTCGTTCTGATATGATCTTGTTTTATGAGCTGGGTGCATGGGTTGCGCAGTGGCCCGTATTCCATCCATCGTGTATAAGTTCCTTAGATCAGCAGACTATGTGGTAGCTATCAAGGCATTAAAAGTGTAACTATACAATGTGCTAAATGTGTAAGGTGTTAAAAGTGTAACTATACAATGTGTTAAATGTGTAAGGTGTTAAAAGTGTAACTATACAATTTTTAATTCGAACTAAAAAGTGGTGAATGAAATAAAGCAAACTATTATTACCCCGCCCAGAAAGAAACTGCTATAAAAATAATTTGACTACCAGTTTTTTTCTTTTTTTACCCTGACTCTCGACACCCTGAGAATGCATTTATGATTCCTTCTATTTTGTTAAAAAATCCTCGGGCTTAAACTTTAAATTCACAAAACTATATTAATGTAATTAATAAATTATAGTACAATTTTTTTTCGATACAAAATAAATCCTTATAAGGAAACTTTTGTGTTACGACTTTCTTATTTTTTAAAAAAAGATACCCAATTTAAAAAAAAAAAGAGACAACTGCTCTTCTTCGTAAAGCCCTTTACCATTTTGTGCATTTTTTGAAAACATCGAAGTGAACGTTATATAGTTAAACTANTTTTTTTTCGATACAAAATAAATCCTTATAAGGAAACTTTTGTGTTACTCTTCTTCGTAAAGCCCTTTACCATTTTGTGCATTTTTTGAAAACAAGAATATATTTTTGTAATTTTAAGTACAAAAAAAAGTTTAATATTTACTAAAAGAATCTGTTAGATTATCCAAATTATATCAGTACTAAAATGTAAAACAAAAATTTATCGATAATTGATTTTGTAAACTAAAGAAATTTCAAATGAATAACTGTTTCTCATAGATCAGAATGACTTAAAAATAATTGTTTCATGCTGTAATTCATAACCATTATTAAAATGCTAAATGTAATATTTTTCACTTTTTTGACTTAAATTAGCATAAAATAGAAAGAAAAAAAAATATTAAAAATATCTTTAATAAAAATTCTGCGTTTAAGGACTTTTCACAAATGGGTTAAACAAATCAATCTAACAATTAACTGTTCTTTCGTATAGTGACCAAATCAGTTGCACGAAGAATTAAGTTATTTTTACATATGTCTGTACTGTATGTATGATCTTGTATTATAGTTAATTCTCCATAGTAATTTAACTTGCATTTATAGATCCATTTGCATGGAAGTAATTTAAATAGTCTGCACGAGCACATTCCAACGAGTTTTCTTCCACATGAGTTGGGAGGCACTTTAGGTCCCATGGACAGCAAAGAATTCAAAGATTACTTCTACAGCCAAGAAGAATTCATCGAAAGAATAAACAAATACGGAATTTTAGAGAAAAAGAAATAGCATTGAAGAAAGGAATTTTACAATTGTTTCTTTATGAACCTTAGTTATCATCTTACTATACTATTGTGATATTACTTATTCAAAATTTGAATATCTTCCCATAAAATGTATCAATAATGCCATAATAAAGAAAGGAAAAACTTTTCAGGTACTATAATACTATGATTACTATAAGAGTTAATTTTCTTTTAATCTGATTATGTACTTGTACAATTAGATAAAGGGCCGGGATAGCCTGGATATTTCCAAGATATATAGTAGAATATAGGCTACTAGAGTCCAAGTGCCAATGTTATTAAAATAATGTTTTAGCAGTCTTCTCTTCGTGCAAGGGAAATGTCATTTGGTTTAATCAAAAAGATGAAACGAAAACTTCAATATAAAAGACAATATTTGTCCCAATACATGGTTTAACTTCTTCGAGACCGGCGAGTCACATATACGTTCTCAGGGTGTCGATAATCAGGGTAAAAAAGATAAAACTGGTAGCCAAACTATTTTTTATAGCAGTTTATTTGAGGGCGGGGTAATAGTAGTTTGCTTTATTTCATTCACCACTACTTAGCTTGAATTAAAAATTGTATAGTTACACTTTTAACACGCAGGGATTCTGCCAACTTTTAATCCCTTCCATTACCATTTTTCCCAGTGGTATTAAAACTACAATTTTAAGCAAACAAATACGTTGTATTTCTCAAAACTTAAGTTAACAACTATGATAGTAACGCATATTAATATATGTGCTTAATTTTTGTAAGAATAGTGGTGATCAAAATCATCTAAAAATTAAGTTCATAAAAGAAAATATAGTATATCATACCTGCCAACTCTTCCGGAAGATTTTATTTTCATATTTAAAGTGGTAGTAAATATGTACTTTTTTTTTCTTTTATAAACTTAATTTTTAAATGATTTTGATCACCACTATTCTTACAAAAATGAAGCACATATATTAATATGCGTTACCATCATGGTTGTAAACTTAAGTTTTTTGAAATGCAACGTATTTGTTTGTTTAAAATTGAAGTTTTAATTCCATTTTAACACCACTGGGGAAAATGATAATGGAAGGGATTAAAAGTTGGCAGGTATGGTATATACTTACTACCACTTTAAATGTGAAAATAAAATCTTCCGGAAAATCCGGAAGAGTTGGCAGGTAAGGGATTGGATGGGTTAGATTTAAAGGGGTAACAAAAATAAGTCTGTCAGATTAGCTATGCCCCAACTTAAGCTACCGCTTTTTATTTTTTACCATCCTGATTCTGAGTTCGTATCACTACATTTATGACTCTCCGTCCCGAAAAGGTTATGGGTTTTCTTGTATAGAAAAGTGGATTTCCAGCGATGAAAACTTGCTCCAGACATCGGATAAATATTTTCAAGTGGTCGTCTTTTAATTAAGTATTTTTAGTTTAGTAAATTCGATTTATAGACTTTCTTTTTGAACACTACTTCTAAATAATTTGAAAGCTTATGTGATGCACCACATTGTTAACTGAAAATTTATAATTAACCGAAAATTTATAAATTTCTGCTAGTAGTCCCCTTCTATTTAACATATTTTGTTGAATCCGGAGGAGTTTGCATGTCTCGGTTCCCATTAAAACGTTATGATGCCTCGACTGCTCAAAGTCGAAGATAAGTTTCTTTTAATACAATGTTAACACGCTGAATGCCACGCTAATTTTACTTGCCTGTCTGGCCAAACGGTAAATAACTACAAACTAGATTTGCAAATTTAAACAGATTTTGCTCTTTTATTAAGAAGTTTAGCATGACTCTAGCAAAAAGTGGTGAATAATATAAGCCTACGAATTGTTTAAAAATAGTGGTGGATAAAAATCTACTAAATTAAATTTATTAAACCAAGAATCACAATTAATAAAATACAATTTAAAATGTTTATTCGCTGTCCGGAGCAAGTTGGCATCTCTGTGTATATAAATAAAATTATTTTTGTGAGTTCTATATAGCATTAATTTCTATAAACCTTTATAGTAACGATAATAATATTAAAAATTTATTTGAATTGTGTGTTTCTAATAATCTTGGCTTCACCGGTCACCGGTGACCACCGCGGAGCTACGAACAAACTTAGAGCCGGTCACCGGTGACCCCCATGGTATTCAACTTGTTAATAAAAATGATTTCATGATGAAGTTACAATTGTTTTATTGTAGAAAAAATAAATTGAAATCAATTTAAAATTGCGTTTTTAAGTATTATTATGCTGTTGTAATAAAAAAGACAATATCTCTCCATTGCTTTCAAATTGGCATTACAGTCTTTTTTACTTAAAACGACTGTATTGTTTCCCTAATTCATTAAGATTATTTTAAAGCGTTTGTCTCTTAAGTTAAAAATTACTTCTTGATAAAAATCTTGCGCTCGAATCAGAACTTTTTGTTTCAATTATTATATTACAAAAGAAAAAAAAAAACCTAGTTAAAAGCTTTACTGGTTGCATATTATTACGATAAATAATTATGTGGATTGAATTAGCGAAATTTTCGCAAGTCACGTAAAGTGAATTCAAAGCATATTGTTTTAAGAAAAAGATAAAAGACTTTTTTATAAGGAAGTGCACGACCATTGTCTTTAAAATTTGAAGAATACATTCTATCTTCCAAATAGAATAAAAATATTCCCCTAATTATGTCTCGAAACCACTTATGTCAATAAAAAAAGTAGAATTGTCATGTTAATTCCATCTCAAATCCCACATACATTTCATCATGGACCTCTTTTTTTGATTGACAGCTGACGAAACAAACCTTAGACACGCGGCTTTATTCTAGAACGGTGAAACGCGGAAAAGTAGAAAGTTCTTTTCGACCGTCAGCACACCCCTGTCGGACAGAAACTTGTTTGCCTTTTTTCTGTTCCTTTTTTGTTTGTTTCTGTTTTAATATTTGCTGCAATTGGAAAAAAAAAGATGGCGGGCTATATTGTAGGATTGTTCTGAGTTGACCGCTTAGTGACTATGATGCCGTTGCCATTGTGGTTCAAAGGGCTAACACCTGAGTTGAGTAAGAAAGCCGCCGAAGAATTGGGCGAAACAGCCGATGTGAAAAAGAAAGCTCTGATCGAGTTCAAACACCTTATTGAAGGTAAGTTGATTTGAAAATATTTTTGAACTACATTGCTTTTTATTTTTTTACTAAGGTCAATGAATTTCCGTTGTATTGCGTTGATGCGACCGAGCTTCAATCAATGATAATAATAGATATGAGTGCTTTTCGAGAGACTTTGTCATATTTACATTTATTCTCTATTTTTACAATTTCTAATTTAAAAAATGTCTTAAATTTGAGGATTTATCACACTTACATTTATTATCCATTTTTACATTTTCTTACTTAACAAGTCTATAAATTTTGAAACTTTATCATATTTACATTTATTCACTATTTTTACAATTTCTAATTTAACAAATTTCTTAAATTTGAAGATTTATCACATTAACATTTCTAATCCATCTTTACATTTTCTAATTTAACAAGCCTCTGAATTTTGAGACTTTGTCAAAATTACAATTATTCCTGAATTTTACAATATATTGACGATATATATCTTTATTTATGTGACTTTATCACACGTACATTTATTATCCATCTTTACATTTTCTTATTTAACAAGCCTATGAACTTTGAGACTCTATCATATTTACATTTATATTCTACTTTTAAAATTTTATATTCTACTTTTAAAATTTTATATTCTACTTTTAAAATTTTATATTTTATTTTTGAAATTTTCTATTTCATAAGTTTCTTAAATTTCAGACTTTATTGTACCGACATTTATATTCGATCTTCACATTATCTTATTTAACAAGCTTCTCCATTTCGAGACTTTTCTCTTCTTTACATTTATACTCTATTTCTATACAAAATTATAAAAATTATCAGAATCACTGCCTTATTCTCCTTTTTTGCAAATTTTTATGAGCCCAGGAAATGCAGTATTGGAGTAAGTTTTTAAATATTACAAAATTAGACCACAAACGCTTTTTATTTTCACAAAACTGTGGCTTTTCTTCATATAGATGTTTTGCGCTATTTTTAAAATAAGCGTAGACGTAGCTGGCTTTAGATATGCTAAACTTGACCTAACAGTCACTAATAACAGTTGCAAACTGACAACAGTTATAAAAATAGCATATTATTCGCAAAAAGGCATAATTTCATACTACGACGAAGCTTTTGAAAAACAGCCCTAAATGCTAGTTATTGCTTTTAATTTTATTAAGATTTATTGAAACAGGGCGACGAATCCTGCTACGCATTGCTTAATGTCCGAAAAAAGTAAAATTCAAAGCAAAACTAGCCCCCTCCCCTTTTTTTCCTCCAGAAAATAGAATTAAATGGCTGCATCAGAATAACAATGAAAATTTCAAAACATTTTCTCATAAGAAAATATTTTATGCCAGTCTTTTCTATAAAAAAAGTGTCACGAACTAGGGCGGATAGACATTTATTACTTTGAAACAGAAAAGGAAGTTCTGAGGCATTGTTAAATCGATCTGATGTAATAATTTCAGATTCATATTTTCAGCATAATCTCATAGAATATTGCTTTAATTAATTCTATTTAAAAAAAATAACCATGATTTTGACTTAATGGTTTTTATGTACTAATTCGGCAAAATATAAAATGGTAAGGTGCATTAGAATATTCTGCCCAAGAGAAGAGATGTCCCACTCTAAAGTGACGGAAAAGTCCCTTTATAAGAAAGTAGCAGTATTATTTATTGTAGTTGCTTTTTTGGAAATATAGGTTGCATCTAATAAAAATGAGATTCTGATTTCTAATCCAATGAGATTCTAATTTCTGAAAATTTAATAGTACAATTGAATAGCTAGATTCCCGTTAGTAATTAAAACGCTAGTAATAATTAGCTTCAAATCCGCGTCTGACTAAAATTTAATAAACATTAGGTATAAATTGCTTTAATTAGAACGGAACAAAAATGTAGCTCTGATATATGTTAAAAAAACACATAAAATTTTTTAAAAATTATAGTAGCTAATAAGTAATTTTTAAAATAAGTATGTGGTATTAATATATTTTAAAGTATATAATTTTTGTAATATAGTTACATACCTGCCAACTTTTAATCCTTTCCATTATAATTTTTCCCAGTGGTAATAAAACTTCAATTTTAAGAAAACAATTACGTTGTATTTGAGAAAACTTAAGTTGACAACCAAGATAGTAACGCATATTCATTGATGTGCTTAATTTTTGTAAGAATAGTGGTGATCAAAATCATTCACAAATTAAATTTATAAAAGAAAAAATAGTATATATTTACTACCACTTTAAATATGAAAATAAAATTTTCCGGAAAATCCGGAAGAGTTGGCAGGTATGTAGTTATACTAATTAAAAAAAAAGATTATATTCAGAATAGATTATTTTGTAATATAGTTATAATAGAATATAATATTAAAAATGAAAACTAAGGAATTAATTTTAAGCATTCTTTTTTTAAAAAGTTTCATATTGTTTCGATAAAAAATATTTAATTTATAAGAAACTTTCTAAAGAAAATGAAGTAAATGAAAGGTATGACGCATTAGTGACAAAGCAGCAGAATTATAAAGGTACTTTTTTAATATTTAAACAGCATCCTGGATTACATCAAGGCTAATCCTCAATTTAAACTGTTCAGCAAACAGCATATTTCTTTTTGTAATATAATATCTTCAAGAAATAGTACACTTTACTGTCTTCAACAAACGATTTGTCCATGGCGCCCATTTTCTTTTAATTAAAAAAAATAATAGTCAGACATTATAGTCATTTTTCACCTAGTATTTTGTATGAAGACCTTTGAAAGTAATATGCTATTTACACAACAGAGATAATTCTATAACAATAACAGAAAATACTAGTAATCTATAATTCTCCAGTAAAAGTAAATCTGCTCTATTAAAAATTAGTAGATATGAATTTATAATTACAAATAGTAAAAGAACTTATTTAATTTCTCACTAAAACAGATACAATTGAAATGGTTAGTTTTAGGCCGATCATAGTTAGGCCAAAGTTGCCTTCTAATGAACAAAGTAGTACATTCAATAAAGCTTATTATTTTTTATTTTTCTTAGGAAAATATGTTCTGCAATCTTGACAATGACGGTCACCAAATCATTAAATTACAATACAACAATTGTTTCTGAGCTTTTTTAAAAGTCAAAATTTCAAAACATATTGACATTATAGAAACTTATAGAAAACATGAAACAAATTAGATAATTTTCGTAGATAAAACAATTTAGCTAAATAATAAGATCATTTTTTTTTCTTTTCTTTTTTTTATTTTTTAAAAAGAACAAGTTCAAAGAATTCCAAGGTTAAGCGGAATATCAGTTGGGAACCACTGTTTAAGAGAATTTGAAATGGGGTGGCTAAGTCTCCACACGGTATCTTATAAGTAGTCAGCGCAGACTATTTTAAAAGTGAACCAGTTGTGCGCATGAACCCAAATTCTGTTTTAAAAGTAATTGAGAGCAATTTATCACATATATTTGAGAATTGAATCTGTAGTGGTTGATAAATAAATAAGACAAACTAATCATATTCATAAATTAAACAAATTTTTAGACGTATATTTGCTACCACTTTCGTATTTTACGTGATTTTGTATTATGGCTCTTTCGTAAACTGGTTTACATTCATAATGGTCTAATCGGACTACCTTTAAGTAACCGTGTGGAGGTTAAGAGCATTTTAATATATGGTTGAGAGGCAATGAAAAGAATGATTAAGCCATAGTTTTTTTGAGAGACATTTGAATATTTTACTTCTCATTTATCAAATCTAGAATAAAATAGTGTAGAGGTTTACACAAATTAAAGATTTGAGTTTTCAATAGCTGTTTACTGTTGAAGAATATTTTGAAATAAAATTGCATTAAATTCAAACTGCACTTATAAACTATATAAAATATAAATACGTTTATTAAACAATACCTTGAAATAAACATTTATTGCTATTTATAAAAACAGTTTTTAAAATTTCATGAAAGAAAGAGCAAAGAAATTGGAGAGAAAAATATCACTTATATTGCTACAGTTACAATATCTCGTTTCGTTGAAAAATTAGCAAAAAAGTGTTATAATTTTCTTTTACTTTTTCATTATTATTAGAACGCTACTCAGGGCTGCTTGTTTTATTTCTAGGAAAATTTGCTTGCAATAAAACCATGTCCGTCATGTGTGTTACATGTGATTTCAGAAAGAATAAAAACTACATCAGCACCGTGTTTTACTTACTTTATTTATAAAAAAATTGGGCACCTGTGCCGCGCAGAAGGCCCATATCCCATACATCATGAAATAAAAAAAAAGTTAAAATAAAAAACAATTTGAGTTTAGCAGTCTATGGGGTGGCTGTTACTGGGAGACAAGCACCTTGCTTGTATAATTGAAAGAAAATGAAAATAATAAGAGAAACTTGCTGTAAACTGTGGATGTAAACACCTTATCTGCCAACCAGTTCCAATTTATCGGCGCACTTTTCTATGAATATTTAGAGTGGTAGTAAATATAATAAATTAAAATTTTACAAATGATTAAATAAATTTAACTTATAATGACTTTACACACAAACAGCTTTAACCGATATGAAAATCGATTAATTGTGCTGAGAACTTTGTAAATGGGGGCAGCCTTAAACAAAATAAGTTTACCTTAAAATTGTTATTTTGTTACTTGGGTACCTCCTTAACCCCTTGGGGACGGGTGATTCAGAAAAACATTCGTAAAAAATCAGAATCAAGTTGTAATTAAATAAAAAACGGTAACTTAAATGTAGTCATTACTAATTTGACAGACTTACTTTGCTTTTATTTTAATTATTGTTAGTTTAATCATATATATAATCAATGTTAATTCAAAGTATAACTAAATAGTTTTATTTTGAACAAAGTAATGGTGAATTAAATAAATCAAACAATTATAACTCCGCCCACAAATAAACTGCTAAAGAAATACTTTGATTACCAGTTTTATCTTTTTACCCTGGTTGATACGGTTTTGTGATGGCACGTATTTGTGACAGTCGGTGCGAAAGGGTTAAATGTTCTGGGTAGTTAATATTTTCGGGTTGGCAGCTATGGAATATATATATATATATGTGTGTGTGTGTGAGTGTTATAATTTAATATTATTAACTATTTTAATTAAGCAAGCTAGATTTGAAATAGCTACACTATTAGCTTATTGATCTCGTTTACCAGATTACAAATAGCTCTTTTCTGCCAAATGTTGATGTTATAGATCTTCAAAAGATTAATAAAAAAAAGATCGCAGAAGAATATTTCAGTTATAGATATTCTTCGAGGAATGAAAATTATCCGTGCTTTATTTTCATTCACAATTTTTCGTTTGTAAAAAATATAATTGTTTACCGAATTTTTCATGAGCACACAAATACAGACCTGACAAATACAAAGCTTTTTGAAAATATTCTTTAGAGTGATACATAAAAATTACAGCTTTCAGAGTTTTGGGGGAATTTTACTAACATTTTAAAAGCCTCGTATAGAGAGCAGGAAAAAATTGCATTTCATATGAAATTTTAAATTATTTACATATAGTGGGGTGGAAAATAAGTTTAAATCTAATTTACGAAACAAAGGATCATAAACTCAGATGCCACTCGAAGATATTTTCTCAAAGAGCGTAGAAAATTGGCAGCCATGCATAGATACTAAAAATGTTAATAAAGTTATGATAGTCAAGGAAAATGTATTTTTCTGTAAAAAAAAAAAAGGAGAAAAAATTTTTTAGTACCAATACTTTGTTCATATTTAGTGGTTGCCAAATACTCATTTTTTTTTTAAATATTTGATACGATAAGGCTTAACTTCATTGGAACTTAAAACCCTTCAGTAGATACTTTAGAACAATAGTTCCCAAATGGTATCGAGGAGAACTAGGGTTCCGTGAAATATTTAAAGGGATTCCGCGAGTGAGTACTTTTTATATTTAGTGATTCGTTTTGAAACTTCTGATTATATTTATATAAAACCTATAATTCATAAAATTTATTTACTCTTTCGGTTGCCTTTATGAAATTATTTCAAGTAAAATGCCAAAGAAATAGAAATGGCATTTTTTAATGGAAAATACAATATTTCTAATAACAATATATTGAATAAATTACAAAAATTACAAGCATTTTTAAAATATTGTATTAGTATTTCCCATAGCGCTTTTCAAATCAAAATAAAATAAGTAAATACTGCAAAGAAATATGTTTCTTCAATAACCATTTTCAACATTTAAAGCAGTTCTTTTATGTTTTCATCTAAACCATAAATAGGCTTATTTTAGTCACTTTCAGTTTGTATATAGATATACACAAAAAACAAATTCGTAACTGGACTAGATGTAGCAGAAGGACTGCAAATTTAACTGTCGGACATAAAACCAAATTTAAGATTATTAATGATAAAATAATGAAAAATCGTCACTCCATTATTTAAATACTTTAAAAGTAGTCTTTTATAGGTTATAACGTTTCCACTTACATTTATAAACTAATTCATGGTGTCGGGGTTCTGCTATGACCTCCTACATCAGCAAGCCACCACTCGAGATTTAATAAGTAGTCTGCGCAGACCATTTTAAAAGCGAACCAGTTGTGCGCATGAACCCAAATTGTATTTTAAAAGTACTCGAGAGAAATTCACCATATATATTTAAGAATTGAATCGGTAGTGGTTAACAAGTGAATAAAGATAAACCAATCATATTCATGAGTTAAATTTTTTTTTTGATTTATATTTGCTACCACTTTCGAATTTTTAATAAATTTTGGATTAAATGACTCTTTAGTAAACTGGTTTGTGTTCATAGTGGTCTTATCGGAATACCTATGAAAAACCGCGTGGAGGCTTTCAGCTGTAGGAGGCGTTGGTTCTGCCAAAAGAAAGTTGATTATTTAGGGTTCCGAAATCGAAATAAATGGGGTACGGCTGCTGTAGAAATTTAGACTAACAATTTTAAAACAAATCTTCGTAAATGAAGCTAAGACAACATAACTGGAAAACAAATAATGTCATCTAAGTAGATATTCGATTGCTTGTGTATAATAAATTGGTAGCTTTGACAGGATCTAAACATAATATGTAAGAATCGTTCCGCGATATGAAAAAAAAATCACTTTTTTTCTTCCTCTCCCAGTAGTCTTTAGAAAATAAATCTCAAATTTTCTTTTCTAATATACAGTAAATTATTATCAAACACGTATGAGTAAATTTAATAAACGTTTCTTAAACTTAAAGCCAAACACTCTTTTTCATTTTATATAAAGCTTCGTGATATTTTTTACTTAGATTCTGTTTCCTTAACTATTTAAATGTGGAATTAATCTAATTATTTAATCTTTTTATAGAACAGCATGACATTAAATGTCGAACTGATGACAGTTTTCTTCTACGTTTTCTGAGAGTGAAAAAATTCGACACCCAAAAGGCTTTTCGGACATTTCGGAACTATCACGAGTTTAGGACGAAACATTCAGGTGTCTTTACGTGTTTGAAGCCTTCAGATGTTAGGAATGTCATAGATATGAACATCATTAACTATGTGTCCTACAGAGTATCTGATGGCTCTCACGTTGCTATGTTTCGATTGGGTAAGATTACGTATATGTTCAGTTAATATTCAATGATTCTTATTTGCATTTTATGAAGCTTCCAAAGTCTATTTTATCGTAAACAGATCGAAATGAAAAAGCTATAACTTTTTCTATGTGTTCGTAAGTATGGAATCTTGAAGATACTAACACATTTTCAAAGATTTGAAATAAATTTAAAATTTGCATAGTAAATTAATAAAAATATATGGCCTTGTTATGGCCTCATGTATACTGATTACTTAAATACAATCTAATGAAGTCTATTATTATTAATTTATCAGTTTCCCTGTATTAACCGATTAATTTATTAAGAAATCTTGTCTAGTTTAGGCTATATTTGCGACTAATCTAACATTATCAACGCTACGACAACATGTTTGCATCCTTTTTTTTAATAATCTTATAAATGTCGATGAACAGCCGACCCAATTGTTTGGGTTTACGACTACTAATGTTCAACTTCGTAGCCTTGTAATTTTGAACCCAATCCAAAAGACAAGGGAGCTCCTTAATAAGGAATTGGGAGAAATTTGCCTTCGTGGAGGACTTTTTGATGGAATTAACCTGCACTTACGTTTGGTGGAGAGGAAAGACCACTAAACCCTCCCGTGGTTAGCCCGACAGCGAAGGGACTCTAACCTATGATCCGTCTACTAATGAGGATATTTCTCGTCAGCACAGTGGTCAGTGCAAGCCGGATGTGGATCCGCTTCGACCAGCCATCGCTGGGGATTCGAACTCGGTTCACCTCACAGGAAAGCTAACGCTCTATCCCCTGAGCCATCGCGGCTTATTATATCCTTTTCGAGTGGTTAAGTCAGATAGCGCTTTTTATTCCTGAGTCTGGCGAATGTGAAAATTTAAACTATTCATGTTGAATGCATACTTAAAAAACAGCATTGTTAAATAACAGTCCTCATTTATCACGGTTCACTTGAAGCTGCTCTTTGATAGGTTTATCGGATGGATGAGGAGTAAATTTATACGTAAAAACCTATGTTTAACATCCTGACTTAATTCGCAAAAGACCACCATCACTATCTGTTTACATAACCACACATTATGAAAAGAATGAAAAAGTAGCAAGAGTCAGCTTTTCTGAGTAATGAAAATTTCTAAGGCTGTAATAGCTTACGATAAAGTTTTAAACAACTAGATTAAAAAGGTTTATTCAAGAACGTATGCTGACTATCACTTAAATACCAGGTTGTGGTAGCCCAGCACTTAGAGAACCGAACTCCGATCGGAAGGGAGAGGGGTTCGATCCTCGATTCCACCAAGACAGATGAGTACACGCGATATACGTGCTCGTAAATCGTACTGTAGAAGAAAGTGTCGAAAGTCCTGCGGTTGGTCACTGAGCAATACTATGCGTAGAAAGATCTGGGGGGATCCTCCTCTTCAGATCTATGTCCCCTTCCCGTTCAGATGATGGGAGAGGGATCTTCCCCTTTAGATATAGATGGTCCTAAAATTGATTTTTTTACCATTACCGTGTTTCGTATACTCAATACCAAGTAAAAATTGTACAGTCTGGCTAACCTAATAATTAATAATTATTAAGCAAGATTAAGATTAATAAAATAAGCTAGTATATATATCGCTCATAGGCTGCAATAGTGGCACAACTAAAAAAAACACGCGTTTTTGACTAAGATTAGGTGTAAATATGAAAATACACATACTTTTCAACAGCAATACTAGCACAACTCATAACTCAACTTGAAGGTAATCTTCGTGTTTAAGCAAACTAAAGCATTTCTTATGTATTTTCCTTAGCAATGAAAACTTTAAACCCACTTATCTCAAAATAAGATTTTTTGATCGGATCGCCTATGAGTCATATATATATATATATATATATATATTCAGGTGTCTTTACGTGTCTG